CAGAATACAAAAATCCAGATGATGAATCCCAAATGGAACGAAGTATTCTTCGTAGGCTCCGTTGTTAGTCAATCACCATTTCAACCAACCATATAAGCGTCTTTGGTTCAGTGGTAGAATGCTCACTAACCACACTCGTGGTACGGATTCACTTCCCGACTGTCAACGCATTCATAAACTTTGTCTAGCCATTAGTCCTAAAACGCGGAAGCTCGGGGTGAGTGTAGCAGTCCCACTACATAAAAACAGCACCATCGCTACTGGAACTTCGAAGCTTAAAGCTCGCAGCCTTATGTTCCGCTGGGAACATTCGTTGTATTCTTCAGGTTGGATAAGTCAACCGTAAATATTTTTAGATTCCGTTGGGAGTTGGATTAATTCCAGTGTTATTAGTGTCACCCGAACAAACACATAAGTTAGGGGGAATGATTAAAATCCATCAGAGAGCACTAGGCAGCTGTGTTGTGAATATAGGATAGATATCATTTAGGTTTACTATGTGAAGTCGTTGCTGGTGGTGTGGGGTCCACAATATCAGCGTTAAGCGGATACTAGACAAATATCTTCCCTGTCACTAATAAAAACCAAGAGTCATGAACACAGTGTTCAGGGAAGAAACTCTTTTCGCCGAACTTATTATTATCAAGATGTAAAATCAATAAATCTGTAAGAGACATACTTCACCAGCCGTAAGCCGATCCCCATCTTTGTCAAAGATAAGCTCCATCATCCGACTGCCTGCTTGTATTTCTTCTATCAGTTCACCAGCACTTGTGGAGCAGCCTGATACATCTGTAGTGGCCAGAGAATGCTTTCTCCGTACACATGGAGACAAGAGCATATTCCAGTGACACTACTAACTTACCATGAAACAACAAGTAAACAGCACTTTTCATCCTTTCTTTCATTATAATATTGTTTTTGATATTTCCATTTAAATCTAAATTCTATATTTACATTCTTATTTAACAACATTATCACTGTAAATACCCTATTCGGTTATTTCCCCTGAATTAAGTGCAAAGATAATTAGATGCAATATTGCATTGGAGACTGAGAATTTCATATTTTTACTGAGAGCAATGTTGAGAAGTTACTTTTATCATTATCACAGGGCACTGTGTCGACAAGACAGGAATTTCGGTGCTGGCCACATTACAAACTTGTCGTCTAATAGAGTTAATTCAGTCTGCACCAAACTGAAGACCAGACACGCACATGATATTTGTTCTGTCTGTCTGGGTTCAACATAGAACTTGGCGCCGAAGTGCAGCAGTTCGAGTTGCCACGTTCCAAATAGCACACTGAGGTAGACAAGAAGATGATATTTGTTACTTTCTTCCTAGTGTCCATCCAATCAAAGTATCCATGCATTACAGTCCTACAGGAGGTGATAGGCGAGCTCGAATAGCTAGCTGACTGGTGACTCAGGTCTCTGACTGACAGCAGCACTGCTTCACTCGGTCGGCTTGGAATGTCAAAGTAAGGGAGATGACTTGCTTCTAGATGGTTGCAGTGGATATACGCCTTGCTGGTTGGCTGACTGACTGATTGGTCAGTTCCAACAAGCACATAACCTACTCGGATCAAGGTGTGCTTTGTGCCAACTGCCTCCAAACCTATATCAATTGCCTTTGTGAAAAATGATGTCATTTGCTCACCCTCTCTTCGAAGATCTATACATTCTATGAACCGTTTCATACATGACACAACATTCTATATCGTCTGATACTGAGTTGTCATTACAAATTAAAAACATCTGGCAGTATTTCACATTATTAATAGTGTCATTATTAGTTTTTTTAAGTATTCTCACCGACTGTTTAGATTTCGAGCATATATATATACATATATATATATATATATATTTCCCTCGTGAAGTCGACAGTGGAGTAATTAATAATTAATTCCTTGAAAAGAGTCTACCTCTTCGCTGAATCACTTGTGTTCTTCATGTTTAATTTCACACAAACTCAAAGATCTATGAGGGAAAACTATGAACAGTGATGATAGCAGATCGAGTGAACACAGAGAAGAGAGAGGGGATTAAGTTATCCCCTGTCCTGAAGAACACCAAGCACCAATCACTATCGACAGAAGGAATTTGAAGATGGTCTCTTCTATCACTAATTTGAGTAGCATCGTTTCGACTATACATGGCTGCACAGACGAGGATGTCTAAGCCAGTAACCAGGAAATACCTTCATTAATTTAATTCAGTTTAGACTCTTCCGTTGTTAGATTGAACCGAAGTGCTCGGCCTCAGGTTGTCATGTCGGCAGCTTGTGTAGACGCTTCAGTGATGTCCGACTATTTAAGTTGAAGTTATTTGGTGGATGTTGACTACAAATTGGATCCAGGATGTACATTTCGTCCCTTTGTGACTCGTCACCTGTACGTACATGTATTTGGTTCAATCAATCAAAGCAAACGTACAAACTTAATTAAATAACTACTGATACACCCGTTGCATAAGAAAGCGGTGGCTTTCGTTGCCCAAGTGGTCTAGTGGATAAGGCTTTGGCGTTTGAAAATATGGATATTGGATTCGAGCCTCAATGGAAACATCATCATTCACTGGAGAATGCAGGTAAATTCAGTTGACGAGTCTAAAATAAAATGAAATGCGCATCATCGATTCAACTGCTAGTTACCAGACTCCAATTTATTTATTTATTGTTAATTACAGCTTGATTCCACACTGTATTTTTGGTACAAGTATGAAATTTTCAGCATGGATATCGGTAGCTCAAATTTTGCAGGCCGACCATTGATATTGGGTGTGCGTCGGCAGGGGATCGAACCGTGGACCATGTGCATGGTCGGCGACAGTCCTAACCACTGTGCCACCAACGCACATCAAGACCTTCATTATTCTCAGCTTTCTGTGGAAATCTGCTGCATCTAGCTTAAAGAGCAAGATTCGCATTTTCAGCACCAATATGAAGTCAGTAAGGGATTTTCTGTAGCTCAGAAATTTTGGCATACTTGTCAATCACAAAGTCTTAGAGTGTTTTATGGTATTATTTATCAAATAAATTTACTCCATGATGAATTTATGCACTACCACATTGCCCAGGTTCTATTTTTGGCATGCTTGTCAGCTAAGGTATTTCAAACGTGCTGCATACATTTATCAACATTTACCTTCGCTGCCTCGAAAGTGAAGATCAGCTGGCCAGCCAGAAAAGATAAGCAATAAGGGACTCTAGCGGGCAATATATCAGCCAAGAGCACTTAGCCTGTGTCATACATAAGAATGGGAAAGAACAAAATGGTCTTGATTTTGGGTAGACAGGGAGGAGGTCATGTGGTGAGGAGGAAATGTGGGTAATCATGGAGCTAGATGGAGAAGAAACATCACAGGAAATGGAGGGACGTAGTGATGTGCTATCCAGCTGAAGCCCTATGTCTCACTCGGAACCATAAGAGAATAATAATAAATGTTAAAATAGAAACTTTCAAGAGTTGGTTTGTAAGAATTGTCAAATAATTTAACCAGGGAGTACTGGACAGCTGCTGTTTCATCCTAGTTTGGGAATCATCGGCAGTACGCACCCACTGGGTTTCGAACCCAGGACCTTCCGGTTACAAGGCAAGCTCGTATACCATTCAGCCACTGGGACCCGATTCAATGGCTCGTGAATTCTAACTTCTACTAATTCGTGATTTAGCGCGACCCCAACCATTGTCGTTGGTGGGACATCCATCCACACACGTGACATCTAATTGGACCTCACTGGTCACGACTTCTCACTAGAACTCAGGAAACTCCAACCTGTAGCAAGTCACTAGCGAGCATCAGATTAACTTTCTATAGTTTTGGTTTGTAAGGATTAGTTATGTTTTACGAGTTGATCACGGATTGATGCTCGCTAGTGACTTGCTACAGGTTGGAGTTTCCTGAGTTCTAGTGAGAAGTCGTGACCAGTGAGGTCCAATTAGATGTCACATGTGTGGATGGATGTCCCACCAACGACAATGGTTGGGGTCGCGCTAAATCACGAATTAGTAGAGGTTGGAATTCACGAGCCATTGAATCGGGTCCCAGTGGCTGAATGGTATACGAGCTTGCCTTGTAACCGGAAGGTCCTGGGTTCGAAACCCAGTGGGTGCGTACTGCCGATGATTCCCAAACTAGGATGAAACAGCAGCTGTCCAGTACTCCCTGGTTTTCAATGTTTCTCTAACTGATATCAATCCGTGATCAACTCGTAAAACATAACTAATCCTTACAAACCAAAACTATAGAAAATAATTTAAAAAATACATAATCCTTTTCATTGCCCTAATTCATCATCTATCAGTTCACATAGATGATTTTTTGTGTCGATGATGAAAGAACTTCTTTTGTTTGTGATTTCACAAAAATATTTAATCGACTTTCTGTGTGCAGAGGAAAATTTTGTGTAGAGAAGAAGGAATGTAGATAAGAAAAGGAGACCGATAGTAATGGTAATAATAATATCAATACTAACATACTTATCATTTACCTGCTTCCCTGACCGTCTGCCTTCCTACCTAACCACTTATGCTTATTTGGATGTCTTTACACAAGCGTTAGTGTGTCTATCGATTGTGTATGTGCAGATCATTCAGGACAAATCAATAAATTTTAAAAGAAAACATACACTTGTATACTAGGCACTATATAGAATGGAGTGTGATAAAAAAGGGGGCAGAGAGGATGTAAGGAAAGATGAAAATAAGCCTGAAATTGTTTTTTTTTCATAGTGTAATTATTGACTGTGTATGTGTGTCTGTGTATGTGCACCAGTTCTGTTGACCAATCAAAAAATCAAGTTCCATCTATCCCACTGAAAGAATTATCCGTAATGTTTTTATAATGAAAGCCATATATGGACATTTTTTGGTTTTCATGAAATGAACCTTTAGAAAGCATAGATATATAAATAAGAGGTAAATCAAGGGTAAACATTACAAGCGAGTTTTCGTTGACGTGCTATTACACTCACCTAATTACTTCATAATCAACAACCATGTCCGACGAAGAAGTTCAGGCCCTTGTTGTAGACAATGGTTCCGGTATGTGTAAAGCTGGTTTCGCTGGTGACGATGCACCAAGAGCTGTATTCCCTTCAATTGTTGGACGCCCTCGTCATCAGGTAAGCGACTGTTTAATTCATACTATTTTCTGTTATGTCTATGATACCTGATACACTCCATTATGGGTGAAATTTGTTTCGATAAAGTCTCACAGTGTTATACAGTAATGATATCAGTATAAATTACTGTATAACACTGTAAGATGTTATCAAGACAAATTTTACCCATAATAGAATTATACTCTACCACAGTGTACAAGTTTTATCCTTATACCAATGATACACTGTTGAGTAGTGTTCAACAGTGACCAGTACTTCTCTCTATGCTACAAGTATATTGAATGATTTAGATTTGTTGATTGGTTGATGATAGAAAAAGGCTTTGAGCCTGTGTTCGTTAATATTTCTCTTCTAATCCCAAGTAATCCTTAGTAAATGTCTATGCCAGTCTAGTCCCTGCTTCTTGAAGTTGGTTCCAACAGTTTATGACTCGGTAGGATAACCAGTCAGTACTCTGAAAGCAATCCAACTCTTCTGGGTTTTGAACTCTCGTTCTATGCCGTCTGGGATGTTCTTGACCATCAGGGAGGAATTAGGAAAGTTGTTTCATTGAATTATATTACCATTGCAAGGAGATTTCTCCCTCCTTCTCCTCGTCTCTCTCTCTGCCTACTACGGTGTAATTAGGAGAAAAGATTTTAACTGTTAGGGGACTGGTCAGTCAGTCAGACAAGAATCATACCTGTGACTTTTCTCTAAATCCTTTTAATAGAATGGTACATAGTTTCCTCTTAAGACGAGAAAGGAAGGCTGTCCAGGTAGAGTTTTGTTAGTTTCGACCTCATTGGAGATTTCAACTCCACAGACATTGAAGTGGTGTAGATGTTTCTTACCTGTAATTGCTTCTATTTGTTCTGTGCAGCCTAACTAATTAATAATCGTTGCCTTGCCTATCTCCTTCTCCTTGTTCCACAGGGTGTCATGGTTGGTATGGGTCAGAAAGACAGTTATGTCGGTGATGAAGCTCAATCGAAACGTGGTATTCTCACCTTGAAGTATCCCATTGAACACGGTATTGTCACCAATTGGGACGATATGGAGAAGATTTGGCATCATACATTCTACAACGAATTACGTGTCGCCCCTGAGGAACATCCTGTCCTTTTGACTGAGGCTCCATTGAATCCGAAGGCCAATCGTGAGAAGATGACACAAATCATGTTCGAGACATTCAACACACCAGCCATGTATGTTGGTATTCAAGCTGTCCTGTCATTGTATGCCTCCGGTCGTACAACTGGTATTGTGTTGGACTCTGGTGATGGTGTCACTCACACTGTGCCAATCTACGAAGGTTATGCTCTTCCACACGCTATCCTACGTTTGGATCTTGCTGGTCGTGATTTGACTGACTACCTGATGAAGATTTTGACTGAACGTGGTTACAGCTTCACCACAACCGCCGAGAGAGAAATCGTTCGTGATATCAAGGAGAAGCTGTGCTATGTTGCCTTGGACTTTGAACAAGAGATGGCCACTGCTGCATCAAGCTCATCTTTGGAGAAGAGTTATGAACTTCCCGATGGTCAGGTCATCACTATTGGTAATGAACGATTCCGTTGTCCTGAGGCATTGTTCCAACCAAGCTTCTTGGGTATGGAATCTGCTGGTGTCCACGAGACCACCTTCAACTCGATCATGAAATGTGACGTTGATATTCGTAAAGATTTGTATGCCAACACTGTGCTGTCTGGTGGTACTACCATGTTCCCTGGTATTGCTGATCGTATGCAGAAAGAGATCACCGCCTTGGCACCAAGTACAATGAAGATCAAGATTGTTGCTCCACCTGAGAGGAAATACTCCGTCTGGATTGGTGGTTCTATTCTCGCCTCACTGTCCACTTTCCAACAGATGTGGATCTCAAAACAAGAATATGATGAATCTGGTCCAGGTATTGTTCATCGTAAATGCTTCTAAAGCAACTCTCTAACAACATGCTATATATCATGAATATGCCTTATGAACATCGTGCATTTACCTTAACAGTCTTCTCATCTTATGAGAACTGATATTATTGCTAATGCTATTATTATTATCACTTCAAAATTTTTTTAGCCTGACATCTTTATATTTTCAACTTAGACAATGATAACTTAAGGTGAACTGGCGTGTTTCTATTCTTCTTTGTTTCTCTTCGTTATCCCCGCCCCCGATCCTTATCACTATTCTTTCTAGGCGGTTTTCAAAAGAAATGTGAAGGATTTATACTTCTAGCTATTTAAAATTCATAAATATTTATTTGCTGATTTCAGTGTTCAACTTTTGTTTTAATTTGAAATCGGGGCGTATTTTAATAGCATATTAGCTGTGTATTCAGTGGGCTAGAGATAAAAGTTACTGCATAGGATAGGTAGACGCAGGTATAAATGTTTCAGGTACATGGTTACGTTGTGCTCTGATCAGTTGGGTACGTTACCTTCGGAAATCTCAGCGTGTATAGTAAAGGTTCGTGTGTTATTCTCCTGTCAACATCTGACTGATGTCTTGATGACCATCGATTAAATGACGTGTGTGAACTGCCAGGCTACAATTATACCTGTCTGAGTGAGTTATGGTTATTGAAATGCGTGTGGAAAGGCTACATGTCTTTGACCACATATGTTTGCGTTCTATCTTTTGTGTTAGTTAAGTGGTTTACTCTAGTGACTGGTTTTCAGATGGTTGGTTAGGTGTAGAGTGGCTATGTGGTAAGGGATGTGAGTTAACCGGTGAGCTTGAGCAGCATCTATATTGACTGATATGGTTAGGACACGTGTCGCGTATGCCCAGCCAATTGTTGGCTCCCTCGATGAGCAGTGTTAACTACTGTGAATACCAGCAAGGGATACTGAACAGCTGCTTTGTCAGCCTAGTTTGACCTTCCGCTTTCAAGAAAAGCTCACAGACCAGTTGGCCACTAGGACGCGATACAGTAATCCCGACTTCCACCAGTTAACGTGACATTGGCACTAGCCAACTTTATCGACAGTAGGTATTCGTGGTCACACGCCGCTCTGCCAATGGACGTCACTGATCACGATTTTTCACTAGAACACTTCAAACAGCTTCGTGCTGTAGGAGGTTACTGCCGAGCACCAGACTACTTTTTATGAGTTCAATTTGTTCTGCAGGTTTGATCATGGACTGATATCAGTTAGAGTACCACTGAACACCATTCTCAAGTAGTACTCGACAGCTGTATCGTCCTATTTATCCTCACCCAGTTCAAATATATATATATATATATATATATATATATATATATATATATATATATAAGCAAATGCTGTGTAGAGACCAACTTCGTCGCTTAGAGTTGATAACACTGTAGACGTTATAAGCTCGTCTTCTCCGGAACTGTGCAATTATGATCACTATCTAGTTTGGCTGACTGATGAATAAAGTGGCCATAGGATGACAGTGTGTTCCATTTTTGTGAACATTTAGGTTATTCAGCTCTCATGTGATTTACAGGGCTAAGTTCAATCAGTTTTAAGATTTTCCTCTACTTACGTTTAACCGAAGAGTTGAAGTAGGCCAATTAAAATAAACAAAATTTACCAGGAATTTAAGAATATGAAGGATAATCATTAACACGCTCACTTTTGATATTACACAACCAGATAAAGATTACTTATCAAAGTAGATGGATTGACAGTAATAATAAACTGTTTTTATACACAAATGATGGATAAGGGAGGCTAAAGTTCACGGATAATTATCCCCTTCAGCAACAGGTAATTAGACTGAACATTCAGCAGAGTAGAACACTTGTAAGCAATCTATTGGTGGGATATTAGGAAAGCTGCAATGCAAACAGTGTTAAATGACAATCAGACGTCTGTGCCTCAACTTCATCCAACTACTTTGCAAAGGCTATCGACAACACTGACCTCTAAGCGATTTGGAAACTGCTTCAACATCAAAGAGTGCAGCGCCACATGTCAAGAGATCCACAACGGAAAACCTATTGAAGTATTGGATATAGGAGTAAGGTAAGGCTGCTTAATATCATAGATGATGATATTCCCGATTGTGGTGGACTGGATCATGTGGAAGGTGAATGAAAACGAAAAGACGGGGATACCTCGGGCCGACAAGAAGATGTGGACTTCGCAGACTATTTATGTCTAATGTTATATAAATTCCAAGACGTAGGCGGAAACCAACAAGCTAGCGGGAGAGGCAGTAAATACAGGGCTTTAAGTGAGGCTAGAGAAGACAGATGTGATGAAGATAATCAACCAACCAACAACAACAAACACCGGCCAGTGTCAACAGCAGAAATTTGAAAGAGGTTACTTCCTTCACTTATCCAGTCAGCATCGTTTCAATTACAGGCAGAGGCGCGGGTCAGAGTGTTGAAACTGGAGTTAGAAAGGTGAGACACACCTTCATCACTCTGAAATCAGTTTCGAAATCTGCGGCACTCTGACTCAGCATAAAGAACAAAATTCGGATTCTGTTCAACACCAATGTCAAGTCATTCAGTTCTTTAAATGGGTTAGAAACATGACTTGAACATTACTTAAAGCATCTCGAACAGGGTACAAATTTTCACCAACAGCTGCCTTCTGTGGCTCCATACTGAAGACCAGACATCTGGCTAGAAAGAATCAGCAACAAGAAGCTCTAGGGACGAACGAATCAAGAACCTGCTGCTCAGTAATTACCTCCAAATGAATGGAAATAAAGCGTCAGTCCAACATACTGAGTCAGTCAACGGGAAATGAATATTATGTAGTAGAAGTAAAAGGTGTTAGGCGAGGCGTTAATACTCTTTTCTGCAACATCATTCTCAGACTGCCTACCTCGGAGGCTTCATCACAATATTCACTAAGCCTGCACTATTAACACGACACATACTTTCTCCCTCATCCCAGAGATTCATTGGCAGAAAATCTAGGAAAGTGTTTGTCCCACTCATTGAAGAAAACCTTATCAGTTGAATTTCTATTCAGTTTTTCTACAAAACAGTGATTCATATGGACGGGAAGAAAAGACTACTACTTCTGTCCGCCTTATTAGTGTGTATCTATGACTTCACCTGCATCTATAGAGGAGATAGGTACTGAACTCAGCGTTTACTGTCCAAGTGTATCATCGAAAATTTATCCACATATCTAATTCAACTTGGAAATTCCCGTTGATTGATTGGTCCGAAATGTTTGGCCTCTGTTGATATGTAAGCTCTCTGCATAGATGTGTCCACTATGTTGGAGAATTTAACTTGAAGGGATTTGGCGGTTGATGATTATCAATGGAACTGAGGATGCGAGGGCTAGTTTCGCATATGCTAGTTTACGCCGTCTCTGGCGTAGACGTGATATCCGACTAACGACCAAAGGGCGGGTGTACTGCTCATCAGTCCGCTCCGTCCTCCTTTATGGTTGTGAGACCTGGACACTGAGAGTGGAAGACATGAAAAGATTAGCTGTCTTTGATCATAGGTGCCTTCGTTCTAATTCCCATGTGAAGTTGTATAATAAGGTGAGCAATATTGAGGTTAGGCGTCAAGTTCTAGGTAAGCAGGGGAAATCAATCGACGAGGCTTCGAAGTTACTTCGATTGAGATGTTTAGGACATGTGTTACGTATGCCTGGTAATCGCCTTCCTCGACAATGGGCAATGTTAACTAACATAGGGTCATGCTGAAAAAGAGCTAGTGGCGGTCAAACCAAAACATGGCACCAGTCAATGAAATCCAAAACAGTTAGTTTAAGCCGGTTACTTAGGAAGGTGTCGACTTCCTGGTTGGGGTCCTTGGGACGGTAAAAACCAGTGGCTGGAGACAATTGGTGATATGGCCTGAAATAGTTATCAATGGCGTAGATGCATCCACTCCTTGTGACTTATGATTTCCAATGAAACTGTTTTGTTCTTCGTTATTACTCCTCCTTTGTCTCACACCTCTATTTACTGTCTCTATTATGCATTTCTTCTCTTGCTTTGTGTGCTACAAGGAGTGGAGTGTGGCGACTTGAAATGCCGCAAATCGGTGCGAAGTTCTATGTCGATAACAGACAGACTGAGGATGCACGTATTGATAGTGGGAACATCATTACTCAATGTGGAATGCATGTAAATCCGGGTAACGAATCCCAGATAGGACGAAATTCGCATCCTGGATTTCACTGCTGGTCACTACGTGTCAAATTAATTTATCTACATAGAAAGATCTTCTCCCCATAGTAGCTCAATCCTGAAGCAACTGACTGATTCTAGATATACAGCAAACTGGAAAAACCAAATTCAAAGTTATCATCCGCAAAGTAGACCTGCACATCTTCCCAAAAGTTTATGATTCAAACTTCATCAAAGTGCGGATACTATGGCAGTCAACAAGTCAAATCTTCAACTTTGTATACATATGAAGTATGTGCAGTCACTGAACTTACAACGGACCTAATTTATTTCAGTACTTGACCCTTTCCACCAACAGGAACTCACAGTTTTAATGATGCACATCTTTGGAAACATTTCTTTCGTCACGCTATGAAAATGTAATATATATATATATATATATGTCCAAACCAAGTTCACTTTTAACAGTTTGAAAAAATTTGGGCATTGGGTGTATGATATTCATCATAATAAAGGTTTTTGTATTTCCCAATGAATGAGAAACAAAACTATATTGCTATTTTTGCTGAGGTTTCGCTATTTAATGCTAATAGCCTTATCAAAGTATTATTAAACTGGAATTTACAAAATCTCAGTATATATATAACAAAGAGTTAAGTCAAAATAACAATGAAGATCACTAAAGCAAATAACAAAGGTAATAATACGTCTGTTATGATATCAAAACAAAGTTTACTAACTTGATCATCATTCGTTAGTCTGGAGTCATTTTTCGTTGTCAAGTTGGTCACTTGGTAGAGATAACAAAACCAAGTGTAGATTGTTAAT